CTGCACACCATACTTAACTCGCATTTTCTTTAGTGCTTTTCTTCTCTCCAACTCCTTTTCCTCTTGACTTATGGTTGGTGTTTTTAAATTAAAAAAAAATCAATTTCCCTTGTGACAAGAGGATTATTTAGTTTATCTCATGTTATATGTACATAATTTTTGAAGCACAGGTACATTTTATCTAAGTTGTCAAGTTTCTGAGTGTAAAACTTTTCAGAATAGTCTCTTATCCTTTTGGTAGCTACAGTCTTAAGGGATAGCCCCTGTCTCACTCCTGATATTAATTTGGTCTTTTTCTCTGTAGTTGATTGGAGATGGCCAGTTCTGTCCATCCGTTTTTCAAAAAGCCTGCATTTCCACCGCTTTCTGCCCGTTTCATCTTTCCTTTTTCTGGCTGATTTGCTCTTTTTTTCTTTTCTTTCTTTTTTTTTTTTTAAAAAAATATTTATTTATTTATTAAGTATACAATATTCTGTCTGCATGTATGCCTGAAGGCCAGAAGAGGGCACCAGACCTCATTACAGATGGTTGTGAGCCACCATGTGGTTGCTGGAATTGAACTCAGGACCTTTGGAAGAGCAGGCAGTGCTTTTAACCTCTGAGCCATCTCTCCAGCCCCATGATTTGCTCTTTTCTTTCTGAGTTTGTAACATAGTTCATTATGTTGTTCATTTGAAACTTTTCATCTTTTCATATGTATGTAGTAAGTGATACACATTTCCTGGCATGCACGGCCTCACTTGCATCCTAGGTGCTTTGTTTTCATTCAGTTGTGTGTCTGTGTGCTTGGTTAAAGCTTTCTGGGATTTCCTGGTGGATTATTTCCAAGTGTGTGGTTTAGTGTGCAAGTGTTTAAAAATTTCCCTTTATCTGTTACTGATTGCTACTTTGATTCCACATGGACAAAGAACACTCACTGTGATTCAGTTACTTTGAATTTGTTGAGGTTTTCTTTATGGTTCCAGGACATACTATGTGTTCCATATAGTTATGTAATATTGGTGCTCAAAAAGAATGTTTATGCTACTGTTGTTGGGGAAGAGGTCTGTAAATATTAAATGGATCTTCTTGGTTGATCACTGACTCCATCTATATTACTGCTGATTTCATTTAGTTGATTATTCGGTTATTGAGAGAATAATGTTGGAGTAGCCAAGCATTGCTGTAGACACAGCCATCCACATCAAGGACCAACACCTCAGATCTATAGAAGTTTCTTGGGAAACAGAAAATACCGTTTTATTTCAGGTTGTATATCAGCTCAGTGAAATTCATTTCAAGGAGTAGTCTTCTGCGTTGTAGAGGCTGGAAAGTCTGAAACTCCTAGGGCAAAGTGGTTGGCTGGAGACTCTCAGGCTGCACTTGTTATTGTTTTGATGCAGAATTTTATCCTTAGAGAAACTTCATTCCTGCTTTTTAGACTCTTCAGATAAGGCTCTCACAAACACATCCAGGAATGTGCTCTACTAATCTCCTAGGTGGTTTTTAGTCCAACCAAGATTACAGTCAAGATTAACAATCACAATGACCAAAGAAAGAGTGTAGTAGGGACATTAAACAACTACAGGTAGATATACAGCTGATAACATGACAAATTTAAAAGCAAATGTTAGGGGTAGTGTAAAAGGAACGGCAGGCCTTTACCTAGCTTTACCCAAAATAATTACACGAAAACTGTATTCTTTTAAACACAACCAACCAACCAATCAATCAATCAATCAGAAACACCACAATCATTTCTAAAGATTGATAAAAGTAAGGCAGAAGGAAAATATGCAAACAGTTGTAGAGGAAAACTTTAACATGCTTTTGTTAATAACTGAACAGTGATAAACTATAAAGCAATATGTGTATAATAAAATAAAAACCATGGAAAACCTAGACAAACTCTATTCATGTAGAGAACCTTGTAAGCAACAATAATGGAAACAAACCTTATTTTGAAGCGCTGATAGAAAATTTGCCAGAATTGAATGCTAAGACAAAAATCACATCTTAACTGATTTCAAAGTGTTCATCTCCTACAACTACAAGGAATTTAAGATGAAAGTGAGGTGGTCTGAAAGAAAATGGCCCCGAAAAGGAGCGGCAGTTTTAGAGGTGTGGCCTTGTTGTAGGAAGTGTGTCACCGTGGGGGTGGACTTTAAGCTCTCCTATGCTCAAACTTCTCAGTGTGACAGTCAGTCAACTTCCTGTTGCTTACAAGATGTAGGATGCTCAGCTATTCCTCCAGCCCCACATCTGCCTGCAGGCCACCATGTTTTCCATCATGATGATAATGGACTAAACCTCTGACACTGTAAGTGAGACCCCTCAACTAAGTGTTTGCCTTGTAAGAGTTGCTGTGGTCATACTGTCTCTTCACAGCAATAAAAACCCAAACTAGAGAGAAAGCAACTGTAAAACACTAGAAAATTCTTTGATGTTTTGGAATTGAGCAGTATGCTATTAAATAATCCTTCTGTCAAATCACAAACTATTTTTAATGCTAATGTAAATGTTGTTAGCCAAAAGTTTAGGGGAATAGAGATAAACTCTGTTTAGAAATAAGTTTATAGGCTTAAATGCAAGTCTTAGATAAGAATGAAAATGAGCAATACGTATCTCTATATATTTATATAATCAAATCTATACACCCATCTCAAGACTGGAAAAATAATGGGAAATTAAGCTCAAATTAGTAGTGAAATCATAAAGATAAAAGAGATCAGTGAAAAAGGACTCAGATCTGGCCTTGTAGGATGTTTGCTATCTTTAGATATATTTAATCCTGAGAAGGCTTTTGTTTATTCTCAGAGAGAAATGGTCAAGTTTGAGTGCAGCAGACTGATCTAGTAGAGGAGCCCTGGCCTAAACATCAGCACTTTTGGGTCCTAGTCAGAACCACACAACTTCTCCATGCTCCAGTTGCAGCTTTTCATCAAAAAGGGCTGTGCTGTCTTACATACTTCAGAGGGTTTTGGATCCCAGAGTGAATCCGAAGTCCTTGTGCAGACTAAGACCTAGGACCCTGCTTTGACCCCATACTGACAAGATGTTAGTAGCTCCCATGTTTAGTCTTTAAAATAAGATTTTATTCCTTCCAGTTTTCTATGTCAAGAGATGATATATCATTATCCATCTTTCACAAATAAGGCATATGGGATAGCATTCCATGTCATGCGGCTTAGAGCGTGTTGCTCAGGAAGAGAACTGGACATGGGCCAGCTGTCTTGTCTGTTAGCTCTCTCTTCCTCTCCTTCTCTGTTTACGCATTGATTCGACTATCACATAAAATACTTCATGTAACTCTGCTGATCATTGGAACACAAAGATGAGGGAGACAAGACAGATTTGATTGTGACAATCCCACACAGCAATTGTGTGAATGGCTTGCAGTAAGAATGAAAACCCACCCCTGCAGATTATTGTGGCCAAACATGGACAGGCAATTATAACTCGCACCACAAAGGACATCAACAAAGAATCTCTATTTCAGTTGAACTGATGCTTTTGTTTATCCAGAGAGGTGGGAGGATGAGGGTTGGACTCCAGGTGTGAATAGCATCCAATAGACCGTTGCTTTGATTGCTTTTGTTTGTAGTAGGTTTCATGCAATAAGCACACCCTCTCATCATTCTGTAGCATCAGTGTGCTATCATAGATATCACATACTTATCTACATTATTCCCTGGAGCACAGATGTGATATTTTCACTCCTGGTTTATCTAGGAAGAATGTGAAGCCTAGGAGAAGACCTGTCATTTTCATGAACTCACCCAGTTATTGACAAAGCAAGGACAGGAACATATTCAGTCTCTTAGTTCTATCTTAGAGGTGTTTGCCTCCTCACCCCCTCAACTGCTCTTGCAATTGTGGTCAGAGAAGAAAATACCAATGATGTTTTTTTGCCCCTGATATGTTTGGGTAGTGGGCTGGATTTCTAGGCAGTCAAATATTGGCTAAAATAATGTAATGATTGAACCTTTCCTGTGGGCTGTGTTCTTTTAATGATTACCCATTATCTCATTTATTCTTAACTAAGCCTGTGAAATTGGAAGTGCTACCGCCCCTCCCATTTCATAGAAGGAAAAACTGAGGATTAGATCTAGTATTTTGATCATATTGGCAGTAAGTTGTGAAGCTGGAATTATAATGGAGGTATTCCTGACTATGTATTTAATTATCACTCAATGTGGTCAGCATATTGCAAGTCTTGTTATTTAGAAGCACTGGTGTTCATTGTGATATCCATATCGAAGCTTGTGGCAAAAGGAGAAGACAGAAACGGTACCTTGGACAGCTGCACGGTGGGCAAATTAAATGAACTGTTCATCCTAGCTTTCGGTCTGAGGAACCAGAAGAGTGCTGCTCCTTAGCTTGGACCCTTCTCATGAGCCCCTGTATATTCACACAACTGTACTGTTTACACCTTGTGACAAACTGCGTCTGAGCACTTTGAAGGCTTTCCTTGACCTAAAAAGTGACCATCTACATGGCATCGACTTGGTAACATTTCTGAACTTTAGTTTTCAAATGTGGCTCTTTCCCTGTCTTAACATTCCAGTTTCTTCTTAGTTCTTTAAGGTTAGCCAGTGTGCGCCTTGTGTAAAAACTAAGACGACGCAGAAAAGACACACGTGATCAGCCACAAAGACCCCTGCATATTGTTTTAACCACATTATTTTAGCATAGAGAAGTTATTAAAGGTGTAGAATGATGTGGGAGTCCCTCTGTGTGCTGTGATTACCATTAATGAATAAAGAAACTGCTTTGGACCTATAGCAAGGCAGAATTTAGATAGGCAGGGAAAGCTAGGCTGAATGCTGGGAGAAAGAAGGGCAGAGTCAGAGAGAAGTGATGGAGCTTCCAGAGACAGACGTGCTGAAACTTTGCTGGTAGGCCACAACCTCATGGTGATATACAGATTAATAGAAATAGAAATAGAAATAGCCAATAAGAAGCTAGAGCTAATGGGCCAAGCAGTGATTTAATTAATACAGTTTCTTTGTAGATATTTAGGGTCTAAGCTAGCCAGGCAGCCGGGAACCAACAAGAGGCCCTCCTCCAGCAGTAGAACTCACCAGAAATGTTTTCAGGTGCTGTATAAGTCAGGTGATAGCCAACTTCTGTCATTTAAGGGCATCTGTGCTCAACTTCTGAGCACATCTTATATGTGCACATTCCAGCACAATGCCAATGCAGATAATTAATGGGAAGAAATAGCATGTTGTAATAGGAATGAATAAAGAATATTTGGCAATATATCTTCTCTATAAAATGAAGACTTGTCACTCAGAGACCAAAACCTACTTAGTGCATTAAATAATTATTATGATTTCAGCTTTATGATGCGTAGCTGCCGATGCCTTGCGAATAGCCTACACAGAGGCGCAAAGACCGGTCACATTTCCCAGCTTGTTTTCATCTGAGGCGGGTGTCCTTCAAAGTTTCTGAAATGGATCGGGCTCTAGAACTAATTGCATGATGAGAAGAAACAGGAGTGGAGGTAACTCTGGGAAAGCAAGCCACTTGGCTGCAGCAGGGACAAGACCCTGGTGCAGGACAGGGGAGGGTGTGAACAAGGGAAACAGTTAGCTCTGTTCAGCTCAAAGGTGGTCATGATTTAAGTCCTCCTAAAGATGAGATTCGGTGGGATAGATTACGCTGATGGAGTTTCCAAACCATTCTTGTTTCGAGACATACTGGCATTTCTGAGTAGTTTTTGTATTTCCATCAATTAATATCCTCATCGTACATGTGCCAACACTGAAGGGGATCAGCGACACAGAAGCCCTGATTCGTGGGATCATTGTGAGGAGGAAGACAGACTTTTTTTTCTAAGCATGCAGCTATTTGGCTACATTCGGGTTCCACTTAACAATATTGCCCAGATTTAAGATAATCCTTAAAGGATTTCTATTCCATTAAAAAGTTTTAGTGTAGGATAGATGCAATCCCAATTCCTCTTTTAATAAGGTACAGATGGATCTGGGGGCACACACACCAGCAGTCTGAGATACTGGGTACTTAGAAGTAGGTTTTGGTGGGGACCCATTCAGGCAGAGGGATGCATTTGAAACCTCAGGATGACACTTCTGGTGACTTTGAGGGAAGGCAGATATCTCTCTCTCTCTCTCTCTCTCTCTCTCTCTCTCTCTCTCTCTCCTTTTTCAGTCTGATGCAAAACAAAAGCTCAGTGTCACTTTTAACGGACACGACAGAAGCAGTTGAACTTTCCGGCAGCCACAAGGGGTGAGGACACAGTATTATGCACTAGTCTGCTGCCCTGTAAGTAAGGGAGAACACTATAGCATTTGACCAACGGCAAACAATCACTAGTTGCTTTGAAGTTAAGTGAAATGGGAGAGAAAGCTCCTGTTTTTGTTAAGGAGATGCGGTTAAAGCTCTGAAAAAAATGTATCATGTTACGTACCAGATGTGTTATGTTGTAATCATAACTGCACTTTTGGTTACCTGTTAGAGTTCCCAAGGTGCGTTTGCAAGTATCTTATTTCTATTAGACATAGGTTTAGTGTGTACTATGCAGAGAATCCGTGTTACAAGACCTCATTTAATTGTTCTCAGTAACCCAGGAGATAGGCCTTGAAAGAGAAAGTTCTGAGTGTGGTCAGAAGACGCTTTTTAAATTGATTAGGAAAAAAATTTTAAAAAATAGGTTAGGAAGGGCTGGAGAGATGGCTCAGAGGTTAAGAGCACTGACTGCTCTTCCAGAGGTCCTGAGTTCAATTCCCAGCAATGACATGGTGGCTCACAACCATCTGTAATGAGATCTGGTACCTGTTCTGGCCTGCAGGCATACATGGAAGCTGAACACCGTGTACATAATAAATAAACCTTAAAAAAAATAGGTTAGGAAGCAGTCTGATGGGAGCTGAAGGACTTATCAAGAGTCACATGTCCTCAGTGATATTTTCTTAACCATTTCTCATGGGCCAGTCTCCAGGGGTGAAACCAAGGCATTAAGTTTCTACTGCTGAAATGCCCTTCACTTCCTCTTTATTGGCCAGCAGTGTTAGAAGAAGCAAGCTGCATCGAACGTTTCATTGACCAAGTTGTAGTATAGTCTCATCAGTGCCGAGCAAGGCATGCGGGGTTGTCCGTCTTGATTTCTGAGATAGTTATTACCTCTGGTGAAATGGAGATGAAGCCAAGACAGAAGGCTCCACAGATATCTGCTCTTGTCCATTTGTCTAGCGACATGTGGCTGCTGTGCACACGTGGTCCTCCTAATTTATGGGCTCAGAAATAAATGTCTAGGCAAGCGATTCATCGGAAAGTTTATAGTCTTTTCAGGATGGGTATCTGGAATGTGATGGGGAGGAAAGGAGCGGGTTGGTTGAGAAAATTCTTTGTATTTCTGTAGCAGGGCAGCCTCTGCTGATTCTGCAGGGAGCTAGGGTGCTCTTTCAGAGATGTCCCATACCAAAGCATGAAGACCTGAGGGTTGTTCTGTCTCCACAGAAACCAATCCCTGGTCATATGCATCTCCCTGGCAGAGTTTATCACAAGAAAGCTTAGAGATGAAGGGCACTCATCTTGGATCAACAGCACCTAGAATTCTTATCAGCTCGGGGCCATGAGCGTTATTATGAGGAGGGACCCTCGGTGGAACACTTTAGTGGTATTCAAACTTCCTTGTTGTTTATCATGAAATCCCCTATGAGAATACTTACTATTGAGTTTGAGTTGGTCTTAGATCACACATCTTTGATCTAATGGGCACACTGTAACTGCTGTTGCTACACTGATCTCAGGGTTTGCCAGCTGACTTCAAGGGACATTATTGCCTTTCTTCACTACACAGTGAGGTCACTAAACCTGACTAGTCTCTGTACTGGTCTAGGTGGTTTGGCTTCTGGAGTCAACCAAGCCCCTAGCCTAGGTTCTGAGCCCAAGATGCCTATGTCCATCTCAGGCTATGGTTGCTGTTCTTGTCCACCTGACATTCAATAGTGAGCATGGGAGCATCAAGAGGTCCTCAGTAGAGCACCTGACAGAGGGCAGCTAGTTTCTGTCAGTGTTGAATAACAACAGAAACAAAGTCCCTCCTGCCAACCAGGACCAAATTACCCTTACCAGATCGACTGATTTCCTTCTTGCTTGTTGGTGTCTTAGCATGAAGTCCCCAAGGTTCTTTGACAGCAGTAGAGTGTCAACGCTTAGAGTGTAAAGGGATCCTGACTGTGTCTAACATTGCAAACTGTGTCCTTTGCAATTAGGCTCCCGGGAGTCTGAACTCTTGAGTATGGTAGACAGAACCATGTCCCACTTCACCCTGGCTACTCTCTAGTTTCCTTTAAGCCCCCTCCCATCGTTCTTCCTGCATGGTGTTTGCTGAGCTTCAATCACCCTTTTGACATTTCTGAGATTTTGTTTATCTCTGTCTCTTCCATTCAGTATTGTTGGGTGAGTTCACATCTCTTCCCTTTCCCTTCTCCTTGTCATTTATGTGAAACAGGCAGGGCCATAGTTAGCTCAGGATGGACCTCAGCTTTCTTCATCTTCTTGCTTTTTATATTACAGTAGGGAGTTTGGTTTCTAGAGAACAGCTGTTACAGTACCCTGAGAATGTAGACGACTGTCTCAATTAATATTTGTCAAATAATTACTATTCAGTAAATAAACAAAAAAGTCCCCATGTAGAGAATCCTCAGTGTGATTTCAGAGATATCTTGTTACTTCTCAATTCCATCATATGTACAGTGAGTGTTTAAAAATAAAGTCCCTTCCACTAAGAAGGATACATGAGTCTATGGAGTATGAGGCAATACCTTTGCTGTCACTCAAATCTTTGTGTGACATCTTTTAACTCTCATAAAGGATCCCAGTGTTTTATTTTAGACAATAGATGAAGACTGCTCCTCTCCCCCTCCTTTTTTCTTCTTTGTTTATTGTCTTGTCTTCTCTCACTATATGCAAGCCCCAAGATCTCCATGTGTCATTCATACCATAGCTTTCTGTCACATAATACATCCTCTATAAACATTTGTTCAATAAGTAAATGAGGTATTTTCAATTGGCTAAATCCAACCATTGCTGGACTGTTGGTAAGCTAGATATTCTGCCAGTAGGTAGACTCAGACACAACTTGGCTTGGCTAAACAGTGTGAAGTATTACAGGCTCTTCAGTCTAGTGGTTGCCTTTGCAATGTTGTCCATGCTCCTGTGTCAGTGTATTGGCTTCTCGTAGCCCCAGGTCCAAGCTAGCCCCAGCCTGGTGCAATGACTTGAGGGCTCACTCAAATGCGGATGCTATCTGGACCAGTCTTCTCTTCCTTTCAAAGCAAATATAGATTATCAACGCAGCCAGCTCAGTTGATTCCTTTTCATCTCACAATGGCTGGCTCCTGGGTTACATTATCTCTCAACAGATTGTTGGCTTAGTGATATAGTCATTTATTTCATCTGTATTTTAAAAGAAAAATATCCACCGAGTAAGCTTCAGATCATGCTTCCTGAGGTCGTGGAAGGAACACAGTGCTGCTGATGGCCACGTGTTTGAGGCCCAGGGGTGTTGGAATTTAGTATCGCTTTCGGGTTACACGCTTTGGGTAGGGCAGTCTCCTGAAACAACTGGGAATTCTAGCATTGAAAGAGTAAATCTGAGCCAAATTGCATCAGCTGAGAGTGGGTAGAAATGGTGGGCATGTATGAGAGATTGTGTCAGGACAATGATCTTATTCAGCCTCTTCATACAACAAAGAAGAAAACCAGTGCTCATTGGTTCAAATACACACCAGAGAATAGACTGAGATAGTGTTTGAATATAGACCTGGTTGACCAAACATCGGGGCTTTCTCACTCAACCAGCCAGTGCCCAGAGTGTCTGAGACTTGATAGAAACTTCTGAAATGCATACTGCGTGAATGGACAAACTACTATCAACTAAGCCTTTCTCTGTGCCCTTCACGTTTGGGTGTTTTCTTTCTACTCTACCTCAGAACTGTAGGCTACTCATGCCGCTCCCTGAATTTGATGCTTTCTCATGGATTTGCCCTTCTCTCCTCGTGGCTCCTGTTTCATTTGCACACTCAGCTTTCTACTCATCCAGATCTTCTGGTCTTTCTTCTTCCCTTTTCTTGACTCCGCACTTGCTTGGAAGCTCATGAGACAACATGTGTCTCAGTACTTACAGTGGTCATCTTGCACTTACCCAGGACTTTCTGGGAGAGCTGCTTTAACCCAGAGTTCTGCCTCTGAAGGTCATTGCTGCAAGGACAATTGCAAATAACTAGATGAGCTAGATTTCTGGTGGGAAGGAATTTTAATGTCTTTCCAATCACCGTAGGCTCTCGGCTGTTCCTTCTAATTATACAGTGTGCTGTGGAGCTGAGAGTGAGAATTACGCACAGGAAGAGTGTGTGTCTGGGAAAGGGAATGGGGAAATTAGGGTATTACAGCCATGCTAAAGCGTGAGCTTTATTCTTGCTGCTACCGAACATTGAACAGGGATAACAGTGTGCACACAGTGCCGTAGGTTTCTGTCCGTCATGGCAAGGGTGTGTGGCAGGGCAGTTCACACTATGGTAGATAGAAGTGGAGCAAGATGGTAGCCAAAAGGAGCCTTGGAAGAACAGAGCCTCCAGGAATATGTCCAGTTAAGCCCGGTGTCCACAGATCCACCACCTTGCCACTATCCTTTCCAAATTTGTAACCATCATGATCAAAACATTTACTGAGTCAGAGCCCTCTTGACCCACCCCCTCTCTTTTTTCTTTCTGGAAATAGTCTCACAGATGTACCCAGAAATGTGCCCCGTGAGCTCCTTGGTGCCTCCCAATCTGATTAAGTTGCCAATCGAGATTGACAGTTGTGGGAAGAAGCCACCCGAGGACAAGGACTCAAGTGCTGATGCTTGACGTGACCAGGAAACCATCTCCTCTGGATAACTTCTATTGATGAAAAGAATTTAATGGGTAGAATAGAGATTTTGTCTTCCTATCCTTTAAACAGCATGTGCCCCTGACCCTCTAGGGTTCAGGGATCATTGCAGAAGAGGGGGCAGAAGGAAGGCAAGAGCAGGAAGGTAAGGGAGAGGAATTTAGAACACTGCATTCTGTATGCGGAACAATGAATGCAGTCAGGATCTCACAGTAGCTGTGGCTGGCTGCACTGAACTCGCACAAGCATTGGCCTATTAGCAATCAATCATGGACTGAGGAGGAGCGTATGGGGGCCTACCCCTCCCTGCTGAAGTATTGGCTACTGGTAGATTCTGGGGGAGGGGCAGCCATTGTCATCAGTTGTGAACCCATTGAGGAGCTCATCACAGTCATGCTACTGAACCTGGTTAAATTAGTAGATCTCAGAAACAAAACAAAATAAAGCAGAAAACTTACAACAGTGAGTCATGATGCTGGAAAGGGATGGGGGTAATAGGAGTGAGAGGAAGCTAGAGAACATGGGGAGTTACAATAACAACAATATGCTTTATGAATGTATGAAATTGTCAAAGAATAAACTCAATAAAATCTATTAAAAACTACACAACAAAAATGTCTTTACAAATAACACCTACTATATCTTGTGTATATTTCACTGTAAGCAAGGAGGTATATCCCCGTAAGTCGAGAGCACTTCACCCTGGCTTCCTTCCCTGGCCCCCCTCTCTTTCTTTCCCTTCCATCCTCCCCATCCCTCTCCCTTCCTTTCTTCCTCTCCATTTCTTTCTCTTTCTTTGTATGATATATATATACAAGGATGTGAATGTGTATGCAGAGGCCAGCTTTCAAAGTTGTGTGTCTTTCTCAAATAACCATTTATTTATTTTGGGGAGAACTACTTAGCATTGAACCTAGGGCCTCAGGCACGCTAGTCAAGCACTCTTACTGAGCTACAGCTCAGGTTTTCTGGAAATCTGCGTTTTCTAGACAGGGTCTCTCACTGTATCTGGAGTACCTGGAGTTTACTGAGTCAACTAGGCTGGCTGGCCAGCAAGCCATCTCAAAGGGTCTGCCAGTCTCTGCCTCCCCAGTGTTGGAGTTATAGGCATGTGCTCCTGTGCCTGGCTTTTTATGTGGGGATCCAAACTCAGGTCCTTATAATTTTTAACAAGCATTTTGCAACCGAAGCTACCACTTCATCTCCCTTCTAGCCTTTTACAGTGTTGCCTTGTAGATCTGAGACAGAGACTGAGCCCTGGAAACTGGCTATGCCTGTGTATTCTTTGTGTGATATTTCCTGGGGTATCATCCCAAGAATTTCATTCTCATCCATTTGATGGCTTCTGGGCCAGTAAGGCTGGCAGCTGTCTTCATGGGAATGCTCACCCCAGGTCTCTGGCTCTCAGGACAGAGCCAGTCTTCTGTTCGTGTTGGAAATGGCGTAATAACCTGGTGCTTTGTACTTGACCTGAAGAGGGCTAACTGCTTTGCATCTCTGGCTTGCAGAGCCTAGTACAAAAGGTAGCATGGAATTAAAGTTGTCACAGCAGTCTTTGCTAGCCAATGGCTCTCTGTTCCTGGCTCTCAGACACACAAGGAGGGTAAGAACCACAAATGTGAATCCTAGTTTTCAGTTGGGTGGTGAAGCCTAGCACTCTGCTCTGGGCCTGAGATCTTTATTTGGAGTTTCTGTCATGACTTTAAGTACCACTGAGAAAGTCTCCTGCTCCTGTTCCTCCTCTCTCTCTCCCCTCCTCCTTCTCCTTTCTTCTTCTCTCCCATCTCCATATGCATGTCCACATACACACATGTCCATGATGAGGTAGAAATTATGGTAGACATTAGGACAGCAGGGATGCCAGAAGTTTAGATTTCATTTGTAATTGACAAAGAAAGAGGAGCGGCCTGTAGGTTTTTGCAGAGTCCTCATGTACCGTCGCTGTATACATCACTGTAATAATCACCAGATTTGATTAGCCATTGAACATGGAGCCCAGCTTCCCAGTGCTCTGGACACGGCATAGGCTGTCAGTAGCTACAGGATTCCCACCATGTGGATAGCCCTAGGGCTGGTTCTCTGCACGACGCATCACTTAAGCCGCCTGTGAAGTTGAGACAGACTAGAGGAGAAAGTCAGCAATCAACGTGACCACAGTAATTGTTCTACTGTTGACCGAGTGCTCCCTGTGCAATTTGTATGTGCTCTCCACCCCCACCAGGCCACACTCTTGCACAGAAGGCATTGTCAGAGATTCTGGAACCAGCATGTGCCAGAACGGAAACTGGAATCTAGCCATTTTTACACCGGAACTCCTCCTAGGACTAGGGACAGGAACGCAGAAGGCAGGGAGAGCAATTGCGTTGTCTTTCCTGTGAGTGCAGTCAAGTCTAGAACTCCCTCGAGCTTGCAAAGACCTAGTGTGATCACTAATCTAGGCAGACATCCTGGAGGAAGTGACTTTCTGGGAAAAATAGCGTAAGCAGCGGAGAATGTAAGTTTGTGGGGAAACGGATTTGTCTTGACTGAATTCTGTGGTGCTTAGGTAGCAAACAAAGGAAACAAAAGCTGTGCTTCTTTGCACAGACTTTTCCTTCTGCAAGGAGCAAATCAAACTATAAGGAAGCTAGAGGGTGCCTGCCCATCAGGGTGTCTTTCTGCTGTGCTGAGGCAGGAGAGTCAGCTTCCTTATTCATCTTCTCTCCTCTCGGGCTGGAGCTCAAATGCTGCCTTCTGTGGTTTTCACTTAACAAATGTTAATGAGATAGCATTGTAATCACCGGATTTTATAAATATCTTATCCGCAAATTGGACCACAAAACCCCAATGAGCCAGCTGAGCATATTACATGAGCCGATAGTTTCGCCACAGTCTTAACCAAAGGATGTAAAATGTGTTCTTGCTTTGCAGCCCTTTGGGCCCCTGGGTGTTAGATGCTGAAGACTGCTGTTCGCCTGCCCCCAACTCAAGTGGCTTGCTGGGTGTGTGAGCCTTTCACACAGTCCTGGGTGATGTAAGGGATTTAGGCTTGATCAATTATACCCTTTTCAAGTTAACACTAGAAAAATGAGAAATTGATTTTTTTTGACGAAACAATATTTTAGAAATTCGGGATATAAAAATGGGATTTGACCTCTCTTATCAAGGCAGCTATCATCGTGATGATTAGAGCCTGCAATTATGCCATATTTTGTATGTCACAACCTAATGCAGTGAGCTTGTCAGATTTGCTCAGGGAGAGGATGCTCTGCCCTCTGTGTGATATCGCCTCCAGCTGTGGCTGCTTTGTAGGATGGGGGTGCAGGGGACGGAGGATCTATCTTGTTCTGCAAATCTGCTAGAGTGAGCATCCTCAGACCCGGGTTTCTCATTCCAGCAATTCTGCTTCACCTCAAAAGAGCTCTACTAGGCAAAGGCTATATTGAAGACTTTTCCTGGACTTTTAGGCCTTAAACTGGTTATTGCATGATTAGAACCACACTATCACTAAATGATCTGATTTCACAGTAAACGAAGAGCCGTTGCTTATCGTCTGAACTGATGGGTTAAATAGCAGCACTTTAAAGATGAATTCAGGCCTTCACCATTTCTGTGTCCTCGACAACTCAAACATTTCTTGGGCTTAATTTTTAATAAACTCAGTCTTGGAAAGACAAACATCACATTTTTTTTCTTTCATTTGTAGGTCTAGACATTATAGACGCATAGAATCCTCTGTAGACATGCGTGTCCTCTATTGATGACACAAGAGTAGATGTGAAATTTTGTGAAGAGCAAAAGGGACTAATGGGAGGGAAAGAGAATGCATGACGGAATAGTGTGCTCCAGTACATTATATGCTCATGGGACATTGACCTTAAGTTACCCTGTATGACCTGTATGACCCTGAAAGTGGCTTTTAATTTACATTCACTAAAATCTTGCAACTATTTTTTTTAGCCTCGGAAATATCTGACAAATTTATCTCAGGGTTTTATTTTAATTAATTAATTAATTAAATGTACATGTATACATGCATTGAATATGTGTGTGTGTGTGTGTATACACATATATTCACCGTGTGTGTGTGTGCCACATGTGTACAGATGCTCACAACAGTCAGAAGACAGTGCCTGATTCTCTGGAACTGGAGTTACAGACAGTTGTGAATGTGGGTGCTGGAAACCAAATTCTGGATCCTCTGCGAGGGCAGCAAGTGTTCGTAACTGCTGGCATCACCTCTCCAGCCCTACCTGGGGGTTTTCTAATGCAGCTAATGATATAAAAGCAGTGCTAGTCTTTAACGTTTATCAACAACACCTCATTAGATGTGGGAACTTGAATGCCGGCACCAACTCTCTTACTGTTTATCCCAGTATAATTAGCTGTCTTTCCTCAATGCTGTTCATCTGTGAGGAAGACTCACTGTTAAACAATGCGTGGTAGTAACTAACCCATTCTCATTGAGCTACATCAATCCTGTCATGAGCTACCCTATGCTTTTCCAAACCACCACATTAAGAATTAAGCACAAGTATGAGTTTGGGCATGATTATGTTGCATCCAAGTCATAGCAACAAAATCAAAACAATGAATTATTGATTTTCTCTAAAAATTTCTTTCTGTGCCATGCCCTAGTTCTAGCCTATGAAGTCTTCATTTCCCACAAAATCAGTGATCTTCTATAATTTCATCACAATTTCAATTTTCAAAAATGTTATCATCAGAAAGCAGATGAAACTCATTATTATATATAATTGATATTTACTAATAAGAACATTAAAGTTTCTGGAAAGGCTTCACCATGTACTTCTGGCTGTTCTGGAACTTGCTATATAGATCAGCCTGACCTTGAACTCAAGTCATTGGGCTGTCCCTACCTCCTGAGTGCTGGGATTAAAGGTATTTACCTGCACACCTGGCATTAGCATTTTAAAATATTGCAGTATGTATTCTTTTAGGTTTTCCTCCTTTTACTCAGTACTATTTTCAGATTCATTACTTTTGCTGAGTATATCAATAGTCAAATAGT